AAAGAGTGACAGGACAGTCATCAGAGCTCCCACCAGTCTATTTACTGGAGAAATATAAAACAGCACCTAGAGGGGAGGGGGTGCAGGGAAGACAGCATGCAAGAGAGGAAAGGGGAATTAGGGAGGAGAGAATGAGAAAAATAAAATTACTCTTAGGCATGACAAAGACAGAACACACACATACCATCCAAGATGCTGCTTTATGTTACTTTAGGAAGTCTGCTTACCAACAAAAACTGTAACAACAGTTCCAAGTAAATATTTAAATATATCTATTATGTATACATGTGTGTGCAATATATAGTTGTCAATCATTCAGATTTTTATGGCAGTCTTTCAGACTTTTTTCCCAAATTGATCCAGTTACAGAATGACTGACAGAAAAAAAGTTGTTCCTGGAACACTGCATAAACTCTTGTTCATTGGTAGTACATTAACATTTCTGTTATAAATCAAAGAGGCCAAATCTCCATTCCAGAGTTCTGACAAAAACTTATGCAAAAACATCTCTTCTAAGAAACTATGTTAAAGATATGCAGATACATGAAAATGAGAATAAATGCAGCATTCATTTATTACAAGTGTCTTCCTATGATTAAAAAAAAAAAAACAACATTTTTTTTTTGAAACAGAAGACATGACTGACATTGACTGTGGTAAAGCACTTAAAGAATAACATGGGAACCCAGAATCATCTTAATTAAAATCAGGGAGACTGGGATTAGTAAATTAGTTAGGAATTCAAAAGGGGGGTGTCAAAGGCTAGCAAGGAAAGAAGAAACACGGGGCAGACTGGATATTACTGCTGGAGTTCTTCCAAGAAAGGCCTCCAGGGGGGAGGAAAGTAAAAACACCAACCAAACAATCCAAAGCCAAGAAAATCCCCACTAAAGTCAACTTGTTCAACAACACCATTCTTACATCCTCCAGCAGCACAGCACCAGTAAAAACAATAGATGGGCATTACAAGGCATCAACAATGCAAAGGAATACAGAATGCTCTAACTTAATGACTCTGCAGGCCACTCTAATAGGCATCTAATGAAATTAAAAGTGCAAGTTTGTAGTCTTAGGCTTAATAAAAGCTTTCTGCTGTAAGCTAGGAAGACACTTGAGAAGTGACTGATGAATAACAACTCACCTACCACAAGTATTTGCAAGTCTATGAGTTAGTGAACTGCCAGAACCAAGAGAAAGACCCATGTAGTCCCAACATCTACTAAACATGCATGAAAGATCCACGATATATCATCAATAAAGTGGAACAGAAACCCCATGATACCCCTACAGGTTTAGATTCTCAGATGCCATGTATTCCTAGCCAGACTTATTTTTAAGCCTACAGAAATAATGACTAAGGAAGTACTTTGTTTTCAAGTACATCTATTCCAGTCGAGGCTTTTGTTTGGGTGCACCACTTAATTAAATCAAGTACTTTTCTGTATTTGTTCCCTCAAGTCCCTCTGCCACCTTTCCATGTAGATGGGTGCACACTTCTTCACCCCATGACACCCCTACAGGTTTAGATTCTCAGATGTCATGTATTAGCCAGACTTATTTTTAAGCCTACAGAAATAATGACTAAGGAAGTACTTTGTTTTCAAGTACATCTATTCCAGTCGAGGCTTTTGTTTGGGTGCACCACTTAATTAAATCAAGTACTTTTCTGTATTTGTTCCCTCAAGTCCCTCTGCCACCTTTCCATGTAGATGGGTGCACACTTCTTCACCCCTCCCAACCCCACTGTACAGCCTACAACATTTACATCAGCAAACTAGGTGGTCCTGGCAGAGGCAAGTCCAGTGATCACCATCTGGAAGTAGTCTTCCAGCCCAGTAACAGCTGAGAGGTGAAAAAAACCAATTCCTTTAGCCTGTGGAAAGGCATTGACCAAATTGCCAAGGATTAAAGGAAATCAGTCTGTGGCATTCAGGCATTTTTCAGCTCAAGGAAAATTGGCATTACTAGTGCCTTCTTGCATATTATATTGAATGCCTTTGAACATAAAGGTTCCCCCAGCTATTCTGGAACCTTAACATCTGCCAGAAAACAGGCAATGCCAGAAAATCAAAACTTCCTTTTGAAATTGCAAGTGTTGTCTTCCTGTTGAGCATAGGGAATAAAAACAAAAACAAAGCAATCTGCACCTTTATTCAATAAGCAACCAGTTATTTTCAAAACAATTTCATATGTTTGAGTCCTATGAACATACTTGGGAAACCCTCCCTTCTCCCCTCTTCCTGTCCATTGATGTCTTCTGCTTTGAGCAGCTTCAGAAAAGAACAGCAGCTCAGTAAAATATTTTTTTTAATATGTCCAAAGGCTGAACTGACCTGATGAAATCCTAATGGTGATGCAAGATTTTAAACAGATCAGTTCCTTCTCAGCACTCTGAAGAAGCTGCATTTTTAACACAGCAGCTTCACTGAAGAAAAAGTGACCTTTGGGAAACTGAAACAAAACTTTCAACAAAAATGTTTTGAAAAGCAAACCAAAAAAATTCCCTATGTAGACATGTCTGGGAGCTGACACTTAGTCACTTCACTAAAATTTCTTGTTCCAGGGTGTTAATATATACACAGAAGAAAACTAATGTATCTACTATTTCACATCTGCTTGTACAGAGCCCAAAGAAAAACTCAGAGCCTAGAATTCAACAGGTTTTACCCACTCACAACCTGAGTTCAGCCTGCCCTAACAGATACAGCTCTTTACATTGTCTCCTGCAGGTGTCCATGCAATTCAGGTCTGCAGGACACTTCCAGCACTCGTTTCCTTCAGTAAGCCTACTGAAAGCCCAAACCAGAAGCTCTACTTACTGAATCCCTGCAAAGTTGTATGATCCTTTTTAGGCACCAGCATTTCCTATACTCAGGTAACTATTTGTATTACGTGTATCTTTTCATATCTTTTATAATATGTTAAATTTCTCTCCTCACATTAAATTGCATTATACTTACTCTCACCTTTTTCTCTAGAAGAATCAGTTTAAAAAGGATCAGGACCTGAAAAAAACACAAAGGGAAAAATAAGGTGAGTGAACCAATGCTATTTATCAAAAATACTGTGCCAGCATAATCTCTTATTCAGATTTCATATTAATCACTGCATAACTGTCAAATGATCAAATATATTTGACTGGTAAAAAGCAGTGTTCCAATACCCTTTTTCCACCTGCACACTCATTTTAAAATAGCATTTGAGAGGTACCAAGAGAAACCTGCACAAACAAGAAATTGTGTAACTTCAGAGAGAACATGTTGTGCAATTCCAGAATTTTAAAAAGCAATAAAGTGCATAAACATAAAAAGAGTTCCTTCACAGAAATACAGAAAAGAATTCCACAGAATATCAAGGACAGCATTTCCCTCAGTAACTTTTAGGCATCTAGGTCAGAAGTGGTGTCCAGATTCTCTACACTCAAAGAAAAATACATAGGCATTACTGGGGTGTGACTGGCAGCCATCTGAAGTCCAATATAAATGAGTTCTACCCCCCAGAATTAATCAATAAACCTACTGAGCAGATACAAATACACCATGAAATCCAGATTCTCAAACTTGTTTCCTTGATGCCTCTCAGTTAATACAAGATTCTAGATGCTATTTGTACCTTAGCTCTAGTATACACACTCAATTTCAGTCATGAGGAAAAGGAAGAGAGGTGCAAGTCCCCTCAGGTTCTATGGTGACAGAAGCTACACAAATTACAAGATACAGGAGAAAAATGCTCCAAGTTGTGTCTGCATGGACTTGAGCAACATTAGTTTATCACATTATTGACAAGAAGCAGGAAATAGCAACAAGACCAAACCTTAGATAACACTTTTTTGGAATAGGACTGAAGAAATGTCACACAAACTCTCAATCTCCAGGGAATCCAGCAGAAAGACAAAACTTCTCAGTCTGGAACTTACTTTCACTGAAGGTATGTAGAAGGAGGGGAAATCAAGAGGCTGTAACCAGAACTACTTAGGAAACAGACGACTTACTCCTAGCTCAGCTATGTCTAGGCATGTTTCTTTTTCAGTTCCTCACAAAGCATTTTACTCCACCAAACAAGTACTGTATTTTATACAGCAGAGAATACCTACCTTGTGTCTGAAGTGAAGAACAAGATCCCGAGGAGACAGACCTGAGATGCCAAAAAAAGAGAATTATTGCAGCTGAAGAGCTAGTAGAGATACTAAGTTCCTTCTTGCCATCATTTTTCGGGGGAAGGGATGCCCATTATGTATTTGATGTGAACCTGCTTATTTCAGTAAGAGAACTCTGAATATCAAATTCTTTCTTTTGAGCGGGAGCAAGAGTTACATCTACAATGGAGACAATAATAGCGTGGATAGTCACACTCTGAGTTACTCCTTTTGGCTGCCACACAACATCATGGAAACATTGAATTAAATACTACACAGCACATCCAGAAAACACAGGGAAGAGTCAGAAGCAAATGGGAGATATCCCAAAAAAAAAAAGGTAGATGAAAGCCAGAGCACCCCACACCATCAAATATTTCCATCTAAAAATGAAGAGGGTACTGTTTTCCAAAAGCAGCCAAGCAGTGGCTTCTCAGACTCTTAGATCAAGAGGTAACAAGGCTTTTAACCTACAACTAACTCCTACTAGGAAAACTACACTGCATTTATTTGACATTTATTTAAATCTGTTAATAAAGAAATGTCTAAGAGAAAACTGTGCAGGCACACAGACCTCTGATGCTTAATCTGTTAATGCACATAAACTAATTAGCTCAGGGAGGGAATGTGTTGATCAGTGTAACATTATCTCTGGTGCTTGTAGAAAATAAGTCACTTACCAAGATAAACTTGGGACCCTTCTAGCAAAGTACTGCCCAAGGAACTGTTCATATGGTCATAAAGTTCCTGTAAAAGTCAGAACAAAGGCAAAAAACCACCCAGAAGTTATTAATGACACATGGTCACAGAAAATCCAGAATAAACAAAATTCACTTATTAAACAGAGATAGAAACTGTCAATCAGTTCATGTTAAGTTATTACAAGAGCTGAACAATTGAATGACCTACACAAATGGAATATCAGAGCACTAATTAAAAAGACTGAGGTCCATAGCCATACACTGAAAGTTTTGTTCTGGGTGGTATTTCTAAAAATTTACCTTGAGAATTGAAATTTGTGAGAAGTCTTTTTCTTCAAAATAGGCGTGTGTAATGAGTTGCAGCTTTGCCTGGAGTAACCCATACAAAGGCTTTGAAGAAAAACAAACACAAAAGCAAGTGAAGAAAACTTACTTAGTTGCTCATTTTGAATTTTAATTTCCCACTCTTATCTTGCAACAGACATTATTACAGAGAGTTCATGGAGTGGCAGTCCTTAGCTGCTAACTCACAGCATCTTTCTCTTGTGCTCATTTTCAGTGATAATTCTATTTTCTTTCCATTTGCACAAACCACACCATCACTGAACTTTCTGGAAAAGTACTTCCCTGTTTTAACACACTGCTTGTGCAGCTACAGTAATAATAGTACTTTCTTCAGCTTTAAGCACAGAAAGAATTCCTGTTCCCTGCCTGGTGACCAGTAGGTTTTGCTGAACAGGTAGAAGTACAAGATGCCACACTCTCCAGTTATGATAATGGTCAAACCCCACAATCCTTCTACATGAAGTAAAGTTATCAGTGCTTAAGAATAATCAAAAGTGCAGACAGCCACCCCTGACAACAGGCTGACACTTTTACAATTACTCTTACAAGACGACACTGATTTTAGGCATCTCACTCCAAATGCCTTCAGATTCAATTTCACTTCAGTATTTTGTTACCCTGTAATGACTTAAAACAGAGATGTTTGGAGCCAAGAGTTCCAAATAAGAATATAAAAAGCAAATAATTTCTACTATGTTATTTGAAAGCGTTTTGGGAGTTAAACATTCTTACCAGCTGACTGAGAACACAGACACTTTTCTGCACCGTTTCTCGGGTGATGTCTGCTTGCCGTACTTTCAGTGCCTAAGAAACAGAAGTATGACAGTAGTTTTACCCACACACAATTTCAAAGAGAATTTTTGTGGGTCTAGTTGCCACATACCACCCCACTACTTAAACAAAATCCTAAAACTGACTGCCTTCAGTGGTGGAATATCCAGGCTGTGCAACAGTAGGCCCTGTACCTAGTGAAAACGGGCATAACACTGACATGTCAGAGTTGTGCTCTCATCTCCCCGTGCTCAGCAAAGATCCAAATACAGCTCTGATGACAGGCAGAGGACTGTCTAAAATACACTAGCATGAGGAAAAGGCAATAGCCCTGGAAAAGGCAATGGCACTCTAACTCAGGGTAATACAAAGAAGAGAAGCCAAACAACTCATCACTTTTCTTCTCAACACTATCTGTGAAAGCAGACCAGGTTGAAAAGTCTTTGCCTAGAGATTGTTTGCTTAACACTCAAGGACCTTTCACCCGTAAAATGAAGGAGGCATCATCTGCAGAATCAGGTACATTCTCAGTCAGACCAAATGGTCCCAGCACTTAACTGGGTGGGGGCAGAAACAGAGCCAAGTGATTCACTTAATTGCACAAACCAGCAAGTGTGTGGACTGCAGCCCACGCATCAGAAGGGACAGATGGAAAGAGAGCCAGAGCTGTCACATGAAACACGTTGGTTTATATTGTACTTGTTCCAAAGAGTTCGTTTTAAACATCTATTTGTCTTCTTAATTGATTACTAAACAGCATAAATACGAATCAAGAGCACAATAAAGCCAAGTTATTGCATAGTTAAATAGAGCGAGACTCTAAATCATAGAATACAGTCAGGACTAGCCGCAAAGATGAGGGAACCAAAATCAACGTGGATTTAGTTCAAAAGAAATTGAATTAAATTCTCCACGTGTAAAAATTTCTTCTATAGCATAAACAGGAACTTTAAAGGTAATCAAGGTATGATTAACACAAAGCTAGAGTACATCATTTATATCTTCTGAATACAAGACTCCTTTAAAACTCAAACCCACATGGCATCCAAGATTCTTGGCATTTTGCTGGAAAAGGGAGTAATTTAAAAAGAAATCTGTAACAACTTCTCACCTCTAAGTGCACAGCTCACACCACCATTTCTACTTTTGAAAATATGGGCAGATTCTAGTAGATCAGTATGTAACCTCCTCAGAGGATGCTGCAGCTCTCACCCATTTTTCAGCTTTACTGCTCAAATGTCAGTATTGGAAAGCAGCTACAACCAACAGGGAGATTCTGACCTACTCTGCAAGTGTGCTCATGGAAAAGGAGGTAGGTGAAGAGAAACATCCCTACACTTGCATGGCCAGATCCCAGGAAATACTCTAAAATTCTTCATGGCCACATGCTGGGGCAATTTCTACTTTTTCCATCAAGAGACCTACTTCCTGGAAACAGGCCTTGGCCATCTGACAGACCATCATTTTGCTACTTGGTGCTGATGGCTGCACTAGGTCTTAAGAATGAAAACATATTTTTCAATTGCCTTGAACACTTCAAAAGATCACAATGTCTGCTGACAGAAGGGAAAGAAATAGTTCTCAAGTTCTGTAGCTACCTACTGTGCACATTTTCCTAGATTTTTAATGCAAGCTGATCATGCAGCTTGACAGTTGTTGCAATGCAAGGCACGGAATTTCAGGGCTGTTAATGTATCAAGTCTATTGATATAATTCATAATTTGGAAAGTTACCTTTGCTTCAATCTGCCTGTAGCAGGAGACACCATATACTGTGGTTTGATCCCCACTTCTTGGTGGCAAATGGAAAAACACAGTATCTGTGGAAAAGAAAAGATTGTTTCATAAGCCACTATGAATAGTACAGTACTTTTATTTTCAGCATCGATTATCTATAAAAAATTTACTGCTGAAAATACTGACATGCTTAGTTTCTGAGACTTTAAAAATAAATAAAACCAGTAATCTGTGAAGCTATACCTGCTTCCCAATTAGTTTCCAAATTGCTAGATGCTTCGTGGAAGAATCTCCAGCTGTGCTAATATGGACGTGCTGACAAGAGATTTGTGTTTAGCCTCACCAAGCTCCTCTAAGCCCACTGACAGCTTCTCACAAGCAGCTTTTGAGAGCAGAGAAGCACCACTGAAACTGCAGCTGTATTGCCTTCCCAATGCAACTTGCAGGAGGGAAGACAAGGTGCTGTAAGGTGAGGTGTACAGTTGGAGTGTGAGGTCAGTAAGGTAAAAAAGCCAGACACACACCAAGGAGGACGTATTGAGCTCAAAGATTTGAGCAGCTGTAACCACTGCCAAGGTAGATAGGTATCCATGCACCAGTATGCTAACAAATAGTATTTGTGAATTCTGGTCTCACACAAAATAATTGTCTCTGCAAGTGTGACATGAAATTAAAAAATCTTTCTAAAACATGACTAAGGAAAGGCTTTTATGGCTTGAAAGATATACACACATATATACAAGCACTTGCTACTACTGCAAAAAAGTTGCTAAATCCTAAGAAAAGGAGAGGACGTTATGACTGCTTGCTTTTCAAAATGTAAGTGAAATCTGGTTTGGAACCAACTGTTAATATTTTGTTTGCTTCAGAGTAACAAAATGAGCAAAAAAGATAATCCCGTATGTACTAAATCCAACAGAAAGAAAGACTATTTAAAATAAAGCTTACTCCCTTGAACAAGTTTAACTATATTATGGACATCACCTAGGGTTTTAGAAAGCCTGTTTCCTGTACCAAGTTACCCTCCTCGCAAAAAGGCAACTTTAAGTGGGAATTAGTTTAAAATTCAAAAAACAGATAGCTAATAAAGTTACAGTAAATTTAATATAACTATTGTCTGATCCATATTTGCCCACTGCAAGTTCATGTGCACTCTTGCCTACAAAACACAAGGATAAATCTCTCAGCTTGGTTGCCAAGGTGTTTTGTTTTTTTTTCCTTACTAAAAAATACACATTGATAAACTTTTAGTGCAGCAATAAAAATGCTCAAAGTTCAGCAATGACTGGGATGAATCTGAGCCAAGAGAGAACAGGTCAGTGAACCTGCACGTGACTTCCCTGGCTTTCAATGCAACCCACTTGTTGTTATGTATTTAACAATGCAGAAGCTGAACAAAACCCATCACGCAGAGCAGAGTCAGAGACTCTCACTGCTGCTAGGAAGGGGAATATTTTCATGTGACTTCTTTTGCTTCTAAATGAGGTATCTGGAAGCTGGAGAATTAAGAAGGTAAGTACATGAAGTCAAAAAAAAATCTCATTAAAAGTAGTCTTAAAGGATTTCTGTGATATTGCTGTTTTAAGTGACTTTCTTGTTCACTGCTCTGCAGGAAAAAAGATGAAATAACTGAATATACATAAAAATGTCACAGTGAGGAACTGAACTGCTGTGAAATAAACCAAGAAATAAATGCAATTCTAAACAAACAAAATACCATTCCATCTTCATTCTGCTGGCAGATACACTAAAAGTCCTGTTCCTGCCCTTTAAATTTGCTGGTTTTCAAAATATAGTCATTCTAAAGGCATGGAATGATTTCTAGGTGATTCTAAGTGTCTCTAAATCAGTGAAGAAAAAAAATACAACAAACTACATCTATTACAAAGCTGAACTTTAGAATTTTGTTTTTCCCTTCAGCTTTTATTGACATCTGATTTCTTGATGTGGGAGGTACACCTTTATGTTCTTCTTTCATTTTAAACTCTGAAGCAACACATCATTGCCAATGTATTTGGCAGCTTAAACAAAAAGTCCAACAGTGAAAATAATTGTTCTGATACCACGATTTTTCTTTTGGCTGCAGTAGAAGTAGTACATACAACTCCCTCTCTTGTTCCTTACCTTCCTGGTAGTTGTGAGCTCCATCTGGTAAGGCAAGAAATGGCAAATATTTCCATTCCTCTGGTAAACTGTGGCTGTCATGTCCTTCTCCAGGCTTTAGGGGAGGATAGGAAAATTCAACCTAAACAAAGACAGAGGAGAGGGAAAGAAGGAAAACATTCCTGTTACCAAACAAGCAAGCCTCCGTGATTCAGCCTAGCACCTTTTCTTCAGTAATGGTCTGAAAAAGTTTTTCATAGACTCATAGCATAGTTTGGGTTGGAAGGGACCTTTAAAGGCAATCTAGTGCTACCCTCCTGCAGTGAGCAGGGACATCTGCAGCTAGAGCAGGGTGCTCAGAGCCCCATTCCTAGAGACACTCCTCCCCTCTTCCCCTGAGGCACCCTCAGACTGACTCATCTGTGGTCTGACAGGCCCTGGGCAGATCTGGCTGCTGCAGTGCTTCCAGCCAGCACAGGACCTTCTCCTGAAGAGAAACATGAAACAGACCTCCAAGCAGAAAACACCACCCAGCAGTGAACAGCTTCTCCCCTGTATGCACATAGCCAGCAGCACACTGCTGGGGCACACACCTCCTGAAATCAGAATTGGCTTCCCAGCTCCTCAAGGGCTCATGAACAGGTAACACCTGAACACACATAAGCCTCTATTGTACTCTACCAGGTAGAAAATCCTGCCTTTCATTTTCACCTCTTGTTTATTTGTGACTTCATGATTTTTCCTAGAAATATGGACAACCTTTCTGTTCCTCACACGTCTACCACAGACCCTCACAGGCACCATCTTCCCAGTACCATCCTTCCATCTTCTTTTCCCACAAAGACCCCTCTGGGTTTCCAGCCACTTTTGTACATTTCTTAAACTACTGAACAAAACCTAAAGACAAATTTATATGTAAAAGAAACTGTTTAAAGATGCTGCAGCTTCTCTTGAAGGACGTTTAGCTATCAACTAATGAGCTGTACAAAGTACATGGAAATTTTCCATGCATGTATACATAGAAAAATAAAAATAAAAAGTTAAATTCTTCACCTTAACACACGGTGTCACTCTTTCTACAACTGTTGCCAACTTGGAAAAAAGCACCAAGATTGAGAAACCAGCTTTGCTACTTGCTGTATCAATTTCAAGTTTTCTTATTCCTCACATTATAGAGGAGATCTTGAAAATATGCACACACACACAAAAAAAAAGTCTAGAGAATGACTGAAGTCCTAAGCTGAAGGTAAGTAACCCACATAGAATAATTAAACAAGGGGGTGTGGATAAAAAGACATGCAATAGAAAAGGGATTCTATTGGCAGGAGGAGGGAATCCATACTTTGACTTGTACTTAGTTATCAAGAATCCAGAGAGCCTTTTAAACAAAACATGCCATTAAGCACAACAGACTTCCAAAGGAGAGACAAACACTGGAGTTAGCATCTGTACAAGGAGAAGAGAAAGTGTCTGTCACTTAGCACACACAAATGCTGAGAATTCCCTGCTATCCTTTCCAAATCACACCTCATAAGAAAATGCAAATGTTAGAAGCTTCACATAAACACCTGCAGTAGAGAAGAGAATTGTACCATACAGTTTGATGCTGTCTGGATTCAAACTGGCTGGCTGAAAACACTGCCTACAAAATTATTGCTGGATGCTTGCAGAAGCAACCTGAGCAACAAATAAAGCAGAGTTCCAAAGTTTTAAAACACAGATAGCATAAAGGAGCATCTACACTAATGTCCTGAATCAGGTATTTTATTTCAGTGCACGGCCAAGAGAGGGGTTTGGATTCACCCTTTGTTCTGCTGAACACCAAGGAAATCCTGGATCCCTTAGATTTCCATTAATACCTTCAAAGCATCATTCCTGATAGGGAAGTACCATAATTAAGGATCTAAGACATCATTACTGCCAAGCCCTTAAAGAATTACATTTGTATTTTGCATTCCAACCCAAATAATGAATTAGAAGACATATTTAAAGGAAAGAAGAGTAGGACAATTCAAGCTGTACGAAAAGCATCTATTCACTAAGGCATACTTCTTTTCAAAGTCCAGAACAAAGCTAAGAGATCTGGCTCCTGTGTTCCTCTGACAGCATGAAATTTGTTAAGAACTACTTTGTTCTAGCTCACAATATGCTGTCAGTGCCTCAGCTGCTACCAACTACTCCCAGCAACAGGGATTTCTGCAGGCTCTGGCTGTTCCAAATTCAACAAACTGAACTGGCATTAGTGACACTGATGATAATCTTGGTTTATACGAGCCTGCTGCTTTCAAAAATGTGTTCTACTATTGAAATTTCTGTATTCAGGTTTGTGTACCAGTGAGAGAGGATCACAAAACTCAGAAAAAAACAGAACTGATTGCTCAAGTGTCCCTAAATAATTTATTTTACATGTATTCTTTACGACAGACCTGATTTGCATTATGACATACTATTCCTCCCCAAGAGGACCCATGTAGGAAGTACCCTGGTTTCTAAGAAGTCACACGTGTAGTTTAAGAGGTGGCTGATGTAGAAGCACCACCTCATCTTGAGGAGGCTGAAAGGGTGGAAGTAACAAAGATAGAAGAGAAATGAAAAAGGATAATCCATCAAGGACAGCATTCAACACCCTGGAGAACTTCCTTCCACCCCTCCTCTGACTAAAGAGTTCCCAGTGATTTCATTTCAAAGAGCTCAGTTAAACTTTTTCACAAGTAGTCACTGCAGGTGGGATTCATGGCAGCTGACTACATGACAAAACCCAAGATCTCCAAGGCAGTTTTCCCAAGTATTCTGCACAGTCAGAGAAAACAGACCCCTGCAGAGGATGGCTCATCTGATCTGCTTCTTCCCCTCCTTTCTGAAAAGGGCTCACTCTGGCTTCAAGTCTAACTTGCAGGGGACTGTATTAAAGCAGATGGAACTCATCCAAACTGTTCCTCATCTTCTAGACATCCTGTGCTGCATTTCTGCAGCTCAATTTGCAGACTTGCATCAATTGCAGCTAGGAATCCTTTGCATAGAGAAAACATTCTTTCAAAACCAACATATTAGAAGAACATTGAGTAGCCTTAGGGAAAATGAACAAACAAACAAACAACAGCCCAAGTCCCTCAGTTCTTAAAAATTTTGAAACTGAGCAGTGCACATGTACAAAAGTGATAATAAAGGGGTAGGGAGAATCTTTGTTCTATCATTTCTGAGTTTCTGAACAACTGGAGCCTCAGTAAAATACTTCTCCCAGCCTGTGTGTGCAAACTGTACAGAATAATGTCCCTAGTTAACTTTAACTTCAAAAAATTTTTAATTATTTAGGCCCCAGACCAACCATGACAAAGGGAGTACAAAAGAGAACTGTCTCACAGCTCTTTTTCTGCCTCTTCACAGAATAAAGAGGAGCTCATTTTTTATTTAAATACAATGGATCCTTATGTAAATCCATCCAACCATGTATGTGCATGCATAAACATACACTTCAGTCTCCCTGTTTGTCGTCAGTACATATATGCCTAAAAAAAAAAAGCCTGTAAATATGAGAAATAGTCTTTTAATAAAGCTCAGTATCCAACAGGAACTAAGAAATATATGTGAATTTTCAGAGCTGTCAGAGCAGGTTTTACAGTTTTTTTGTCTCTTCAAGTGAATTAGAAAAGACTCCTCAACAAAATGAAAGTTAAATTCGAAGCTTAACTCCCCTGAGACTTCAGACTACATAAAACATTAACTAGAATCTCCAATCATTTCTTACTCGTCCAAGTGCCGGGGATCTTCATTACAGCTGGAAGTACTGGTGATGTCTGCCAAGGGGTTTTGATGGCAATGCTCTGCCTGTTCAGATTGTCTTGTTCTGTGAGCAGAGAGCTCTTGATGGATTTCAGAACCAAAATCAATACAGAATACTGTGTTGTGATTCAGTGGAGAAATAAACTGTGCTCTTTGATACGCTGAGTATTTCAACTCTTGTGGATTACCAAGATAAAATCCCTAAACTTAAGTACAAGTGAATTTCTGGAACTGAACTTTTTTTCTTTTTCTGGAGTTATGCCCTGTTAAGGATTTTTTATATGCTTTTTGTATTCAATCTAACAGTTTGGATGCAAAGCACCTCTGGATACACAGTCCCATCTTGTTTGTGGAATGCAAACAAAGTGTCCATGCAAAATCTTTTGGCTCCTTATCTTTAAAGGGACTTCCTAGCTAGAGTAAATTTACTAGACAGTCATTAACTCACAGTAAGAAGACAGTGCAAGAAGGAAAGATGTGCTTCAGTTCCTACATTTAGGAACATGATAATTTTTCTTTAAAGAGTGCATTGACCTTGACTTCTACTAAATTACAAGTATGCAATCAGAAGGTAGGTTTAAAAAGGATATCAATAAAAGAAGAGTTCCCAAAATATATGTGTCTGCCTAAACTATCCTACTCAAACATTAGATAGGTAGCCAGCATTAACTTTTGGCGAACTTTAAAAAGGACATCAATAAAAGAGGAATTCCCAAAATATATGTGTGTGTCTGCCTAAACTATCCTACTCAAACATTAGATAGGGAGTCAGCATTAAATTTTGGTGAACTTTATACTCAGGTAACGTTGCTTTCCTTATCTGTGAGAAGTGTTAAGTGCTTGCAGTCCCAGCAAAAGTAAGATGCTCAGGGAACACTACAGAGTGGTAAATGAAAATGTGCTGGCATGTCAGCCCCATCCACTATCACATGTCTGAACTACTCCACTTTTAAGTCAACCCACCTTACCCAGGACAGTCACAAGATAAGCTCTCCTCTTTAACATGGTTATTTTGGAAGATTTCTCTTCAGACTAGAAATGAAAAAAAATCTGGACCCAAGTAAGTTTTCCATCGGTTCAATGGAGAAAAGATTTAACCCCAAATTTCTAAAAATATCTGAAATACTTAGAATGACAGTATTATGTTAAAGACAAGGATGCTTTCAGTAAGTTGCAGAATCTAATTTACAGGGAGCTAGCCCATTCCATTCTCCGAACAGTTGTTTTGATGATCTCTCCATTGCTTTGTACTGCACAAATAGGTAGAAAAAATTTGACAAATTAAGAAAAGGATAAGAGCAAAACCTACATAGAAAAACTTTTCCCTTCATAAATCCTTTCAACACGCTTTACTTTGAGGAT